CACAACTGAAAAGAAAAGTGGAGGTTCGCTCCGGCATTTTAACGACGCGAGGTTTTGGGTGAGGATTGGCTGAAATCACGTGATCTCATTTATAAACGCGCCACACACACACACACACACACACACACACGCACACACACACGCAATTTAAAATGTTTTAAAGCGCCGCTTTGTAAGTTATATATCACGACGCGGACTAAATCAATCTCGATCAAGTGTCTATCACATCGCGTACCTACAAATAACGTCATTCTGTCTCTGTACTTTTGTCGTCTTGTGTCGTGTGTGCACTTTCCAAAACCAAACTCGACCCCGCTGAACTTTTGTTCATTACCCTAAGATTGAGGTTTCTCTTGTAACCTATATGTTAGTTCAACATTGTTTACATTTGTTTACCGTAAAAATTAAAATCAACCCTTTGATGATCATCACCTCATTAGCCTGACACGCTAATCGTCTTTAAATCACCCTTTACTAAAGTACGTAACGCCGTTTGATATTTACTTGGGTTAATTAATTAACCCTTTGTTGGCCTGCGAAAGTGCTCGCCGGCTGTTATCAGTTTAACCCTCGACAGTCTACGTGCGTCAGGGGATGTTCTGCTTGTTTGTTTATGTTGATAACTTTAACACTCGGCTCGCTAGAGACTGATGACGCAACTGACACCAAGCTTGAGAGGTCAAAGGTCGTAATTTACCGTAAGGTTAGATCGTCATTGGTGTCCTCGAGTTTGTAGTTCAATGGCCGATTGTCGCGATTTGATTGGTCAGTTTTTAAAGGGAGCAATTCGATTGGTTGACGTGTAAATCGGAACATGTTAAAATTTTGAAAATTAAAACCCAGTGTTCAGCAGTTATTGGAGATTTTAATCACCGGAAGTGGTAACGTTCTAGACGTCAAGGGCGTGAAATGCGTAGTTCAGACATGCGCAATGGTCAACGTGCAGGAATGCTCGTGCGTCATGGCGTCCACGATAAACATGACCACAGCGCGAGGGCACGGGTTCGAACCCCGATAAATACCTGCACCACTGACCACTGCCCGCAGATGACCCGAACAGAAGCAAGACCTGCTGACATCTCCGTGTAGGATTTACAACTTACTTCACATTTACACAGACATTTCAAGTCTGTCAAGACTATCTCTCTAAGACATGTGAGTTTAGTTTTTATGTTTATTAATTATTTCTCACGTTTTATTTCAGCTTTTTCTCCGCCATTTATTTTTACTTGTCTTTCTGGACACTGGATAACAAGAAATTTAGAATGTTTAGGAGCCAATAGATATAAGCCATTGTAATAATTGTATCACAGAGACATCATAAACTTACACACAGATGTAATAAAAAGCAATGATAGGATGAGATTTAACCTTTTGATTCCATGCGGCCCGCAAGAAGTTTCGATGCTGTCCTCAGAACACAATAATTAACTCTAATTGCTGTTAATGCAACGCTCTGTTGAGTGAGTCTATGAGAGCATAAAAATAAAAAATAAAATGTAAATGTATTGGTAAAGCTAGCAAACACCAGTTTTCTTGGACATGGACAACAGCTCTACATGTTGTATTTTAATGCTAAAACTTGTCTTAATAATTCATATCAGAAATCGAATTATAAATTTGCAGGTCGAGAAAAAGTAAACTACGCGAAATTAGTTTAAAGTTGGTGTAAAGTTTGTGCACAATGTATTTAAATGGTGTGTTAAGTTGATGTAAATGACAAAACGACAATAGGACAAAACCTTTGGTAATGCTAATTATGGGTTAACGGCAGTGTTTCTTCCAGACTTTTTTCTCCGGGGAGGGGGTTTCTGTATAAATTCCATTTCGTTCTGGGGGTGGTAGCTTTTTTTCGGGGAGCAGACAATGTACCTGTAATTTTAAACCCATTTATTCATGTATTTTCCAAACGTTTTTTTTTCTGTCCCTGTCATGATCATTAAATTATGATGCGTCGAAACTGTGGCGGAAGTTTGAAAACAGTTGAAAAAACAACAAAATAAACATTTTTGAGTATCTGATGACGTTTAAATGCCCAGATAAATCATGTTGAGCTGACAAGTTTACAGCATGCTTATCTGGCACGTTCACCCCGGGTTTATCTGGCAAGGTTTGATGGCCATCTGGCAGACGATAGGTCGACTATGCGGGAAATGTCGCATTCTTGCTGACGTCGTCACGACCTTGACCGTTGACACACACTTGACCTCATTTGAATATGGCTCATGCTAACATTATTGGCGATAAAAACTTTCCCTGACAAAACAAATCCTCCCCCACCCAACCCCCCTCCCATCTCCCCCCCCCCCCCGCCCCCCCCCCTCATATTTATCCCTCCCACCCCAATCTTGATCATTATCTTAGTCAACATTGGAGTCGACAAATACATTTTAGGGGTTCTTCGTGTAATCCTTTGTTACGTAATATAACCTGCAGCTTAACCTGGGAGCTTATTAACTGATGGCCGAGCTTAAACTTTGAGGCTTAATTGATGGCAGAGCTTAAACTTTGAGGCTTAATTGATGGCAGAGCTTAAACTTCGGAGTTTAATTGATGGCAGAGCTTAAACTTCGGAGTTTAATTGATGGCCGAGCTTAAACTTCGGAGTTTAATTGATGGCCGAGCTTAAACTTCGGAGTTTAATTGATGGCCGAGCTTAAACTTCGGAGTTTAATTGATGGCCCAGCTTAAACTTCGGAGCTTAATTGATGGCCGAGCTTAAACTTTGAGGCTTAATTGATGGCCGAGCTTAAAGTTCGGAGGTATATACACGACAGGAGCTTGGATATAAAAACGTGGCTATCTAAAAGAACTTAGTATACGATCAAAGTTTAAGTATAGCGTGATGTAATGAATGACTGAGCCTGGCTGAACAAATTCCCCAATCCCCCCCTCAACAAAAATTCCCCACACATGGCTAAAAAAAATTCCGATTACTTCCAAAAATGAACCCACATTTGCCGTCAGACATTCGCCCCACTTCATACCCATAATGCTACAATTTCCTTTTTTTTTTTTAGAATTTTTTTTTTTTTAAATATTAATTAATCTTGGTTAGATAATATATATTTTACTACGATTTTTTTAAAAATTATTTCCAAGTACAAAATAACGATAAACTTGACCAAGTTGACTAAGCTCAGTCAATTTTAATATTAGAAAGAAATCTATTTTCAAAATAAAATTTATCCGCAATTTTGCGGGAGGGTTATGGGGTGAGGTGTGACGTCATTTTAGCGAGGGGGGAGGTCTGACTTTTTGTGACGATGTGTAACGGAGGGGGGGGGATAAAATAGCGTATAAAAGCGTGACGTCGTTTATGGACGACCCTCTAATAATTTCGCACATCAAACTGTTATAAAGCGTTATAAATTAGAACTATAATGCGTTTTTTTCCATCAGATCGTGTTTCTTTTATTTTTTTTTAAATAATAGAAGTTTTAAGACAGCAGATGAGATTCTTTTGTCTAATAATGTTACATTTACACGGTTATAACCCCCTCCCCCTCCTTATTTTTTTCACCTTGGCGTGTACAAAGACAGCCTGCACTGAAAAACATAACGCGGTGATTGTTCCACTTTCTTACCTCCCACCCGTGTGATCGTGTCCATAGCTGAGGTCAGCCGTGACGTTAGCCCGCCAACCCCTCCCTTCCCACCCCCACTCCCCTCACACACCCGTCTGTGTCCGGTGACAACGCGTAGGGTCATGACAACACATGCCCGAGGGCGACGAGGGGCGGTGTGTAGGTTCACTGTTAGCGTCACGGTAGGGTGGGCACGGAGACAGAAAGGGGAGAGAATTCACTGAAACAATTGTTGATCAGCTGATTTATCATGGCCTAAGGTGGGATCCCATTTTAGCCGAGTAAAGACAATTTTGTGAAGTTATGGGGTAGCCTCCCATTTTGGCTTCTTAATGTCTTAATAGTATCATCCGTTTAGCTATTGTGGTTGGAGTTATTTATAAATATATTTAGCTGCCTCCGACTCTCATGTTGGCGAGTGTTTCTTTCAGGTATCTCTCCGGGGGTGGGTCACGTTGAACGCCCCCCTCTCCCCCAAACTTCAAATATATGTTTAAATATATATAGTGTCCGCCCTTTCCGCCCCTTCCCCACCCGTAAATTGCAAGAAAAGAAATTATATTTCAGCTACACCTGCAATGCAAGAACAAACCTACGGTCTGGGCGTCTTGAAACTTGAGCGCCAAAAAATGTACTAAAGCACACCCGGCCGGGTAAATAAATCTTCGCCTATGTCGTTATCGGATCCTTCTACCCTTCCCCTTTCCCCCCCCCCCCCCACCCCCCCCCCCCCCACAAAAACTACCGGCTTCTTTTCTTTCGCGCATCCCCCCTCCCCCCCCCCCCACAAAAACTACCGGCTTCTTTTCTTTCGCGAATCCCCCCTCCCTCTCCTCCCCCCCCCCCCCGAGGAAATATATTTGTATGGAAAATTATATAGACCTACTTTAACAAGTGTGTCACGAGTGCCCTGGCTATGGGCATAGGATGGGTATGTTCTTGATCGACGTTTTTATCAGCCACCGTCAATAAGGAACTTTGTATGTCCGTCCGTCCCCGCCCCATCCCCTTTCTCCTCCGTGCTATCACAACAACAATGGATTCCATCCACGGCTGATGATCACATGACCTCCATAACCAATGGAAACTTTTTTTATGTTCTTTCGAAAAACAAAAAAAAATTATCTCTTCTTTCGTATTCATTATCAGAAAAGTTCAAACAAAACGCCTGTTTAAAAAACAGCGTGTGTTTAGTTAATGATTGGGGTATCCGTTTTAGAGGACAAAAAGGGAGGTGTGAGCGAGGGGGCGTTCGACTAGACTCGGGTGTAAACAATGTGTATAAAAATCTGGCCACCTGACACAAGGCCGCACACCGTCACACACCTTAATTCTAGCAGACGACGGGAGGGAGGATCACACATGCGCATCGCGAGGAGAGACGCCAACCTCGCTTTAATTGGCTAACGATTGGGCCACGAGTTGTTCGTCTGCTGGAAATGTTTTCTTGGAGGCTGTGGTTCATTGTTCGACACTGGATTATTGCTCTTGTTTTACTGTACCAATAGGATGTGATAATTTTCTGGTAACGGCCATTGTTGTGGTAAAGTAGTTTTGTATTCTCGTGTTGTGGAATATTTCTTTTTTTTTCTGTGAATCTGATCCACATTTGTTTATGTATATTTGAACAGACCTATCCTTTATTTTTATTTGAATTTACAAAAGTAAAATTAGAAAAACATTTACCCAACACGTTTTAAACAATCATCCAAATAACGAGCCATAGTCCTAAAATAAACCATTTTTTTGTGATTCTACGTTTATATTAGTATCTATATATATAATTCTCTTCTTCGAGCCGTTAGAAAACAAGCTGCAAACGCTCTCCCTACCTCCCCACCCCTACATGGTTTTAGTGAGCTGTGTTCACTCTAAATGTTTACAAGCAGAGCCAACGATTTTAAACGTAGGGGTGGGGGGGGGGAGGAGGGGGGAGGGAAGGAAGGGGGGGGGGTTATGGTCCTTAACGAGCTACTTATAGTGTTTTAAAGAAATATTTTCAGTGTCAGCGTTGGTACTGTCGAATTCACAAATTATGAATTATTGAAAATTAGAAACAACTAAATAGCGGCGTATGTTATGCCGCGGGCCGGCTCGTTAGTACTATTAGCCTAATAATAAATTAGATCTAGATCTATAAGTTTTAAGTTACGCCTAAATATTTTGTTTGAATCTAAAATGACAAAATCTGTATTCTTCAATTGCCTGATATTTAAGATAGATTCCAAGAAACACATAGATCTAGAGCTAGAATTAATTTTCTCACATTCATTTCCTATTTTGTTTGTTTTAAAATTTAAATTTATTTAAGAATTAATCTTTAGACCAACTTACTTGTAGAATTCTGACTCATAAACTTTACTAAAATTTCTGAGAAAACAACACATTCAAAACTAGGTATTGATGTATTGGATGCCCGTCTTTATCAACATCTTTTGTACGACAATCCACATTCCGTTTATAGACGGGAATTTGCTACTATAACCGGATATTTTCAAAATTGGATATTTCAAACCCCATTCCATTTTGTAAGAACGTCAGTGAGACCTTAGATTCCGGATTGTATGGACCATGAAATGTTTTAGCGGTAACACACTATGTCAGACTATAACACACCTATGTACGTCCGCACGGCCAGACGACGCTGAAACCGAATGTTGTGAATAGACCGACCTTGACCGTGGGTAGAACCTATTCACAGGTACCGACGGGGTTGTGGAGTGGATACAATTCCACACGTGTCAATATCGCGGCAGAGAGAAACGGATTCAAGTTCTTTTTGTATTTAGTGAACATGTAGTAGTACATTTTATTTTGGGTACTGTTTGTTTTGGTTTTATGTGTGTGTGGGGGGGGGGGAGGGGTTGCAGCGAAACGAAATATTTACATGGAAGCGAATCGATTGGACTCTCCAAAGGTCCGTTTAATATTTAACAAATCGTGTACAGTTTAAATATATAAAAAAATAAATGTTGTTACAAAACTATTGATTTTTGGCTTATGTGGAATGTCGATTCGACGAGTTTGTTATTTTTCGGTGACTAAACAAAATTTGACGAAACGCCAAAAACAAAAAACGCCTCTCGAGGCGGCAATGCAAATGTAAACAAACGTGACTCAGGTCATGATGACATCTAAAGTATCCGTTTTAAAAGCATTAACCGAAGTGAGTAATAAGTGGAGGGGGGGGGGGAGGGAAGTGTTCAACGGGACTGAAATTATGACTAATGTTCAAACCAAAGTATGGCTTACTAAATTTAAAATATTGGGTTGACATAAGTTGCATCTCCTCTGTTGTCGTTTTGTATCTCAGACGTGGCTAGTGGGAATAGGGTTTTTAATTAGTTTTAATTAATTTTCTTCGCAGCAACGTCACTCAAAAATTATGTTTAATCATTTTATGGTCTCCTTTTTTATTCCAATCCAGAATAATAATTAGCTTTAGGTTTAAATAATTTAAAAGCTAGATATTTTGTAGTGAGCGGTCCGTATTGAATACCAACCAGCCGTTCAATTGTGTATAAGCCTATATTCTCCCTATATCATACCGAACTGCTACTACACAGTACACACATTACCCATTTTAAAATTACCTACCCATTAGCGGTTGTCAATTTATACAATGTATATGACTGTGCCATCTTATGAGACAATGGGTGGTGGATGAAGTGTGTGAGGTCACGTGGTCGTAATCTAGAATACCGATTGGCTTGGGCATATTTGTTGACGTCACATAACCTCACTCTCGCAATAATGTCGACACGCCATCCATTGATTCCGCAAAAACGATCACATAAAAAGTTACAGAATTAAAATATCAGCAGTTTCGTGTTGTTTTTTTTTTTTTTGAGTTTTTTTTTGTTGTTTTTTTTTTTTTTTTTTTTTTGCAAAATATTTAAAAAGATATTCGTCATTCATTATTGACAATTTATTATAGATCAAAATAGATTTCGACATAAACGCTGCACTCGTCTTTTTAAAAAATGTATAAAATAATATTTGTAAACGTGATTCATATCTAACATATTATGTCATTTGTGGAAATCTCCCTTTTAAAAGTTCACTGCTACTGCTAATAACCATTTATCAAAGAATGTAATCAAAAGAAAAGAGTTATGGCCCCTGTCGTGTACCTCTCTTGGAGAAAGTGACTGGATATTTCGAAAAGACCTTTAGAATTGGCGTCAATTTATTCCAAGCCCTTCCACCTTAGGGTCAACTTTCTAATCCAGTCGTGTAATTGATTTATCGATTTACCTGCAAAATTTAAAGAGCAGAGTAGATTGTAAACACAGAAAATGTTTTATTTCGTTTTTTTCCGGTTATATAAAATAGCAAACTTAATCGAAAATACACCAGTAAAGCCAGGATTATTTATTTATTTTTGCGAAAAAATTTTTACATGTTTGAAATTGCAACCGTATTAATGATTTGACTCATGAGACGTAGAAATCGATTAATTTTTCTTTTACGACCAAAGATATTTTCAAATGTTTAAATACCTTTAATACGTAACAGCTTGATGGATTTATAATTGAATACGCCAAAATTAATAAACCAGACGTTTTTGTTTTCGTTGGTTTTTTTTTTTTGTTTTGCTTTATTTTTTCTTGATTTTAAGCACATATTTATATGGTTTCAGATTATAACAAAATAAAGTCGGTTATTTTATTTCCCCGTATACAAAAAGTTAAATGAAATTTTGACAGGTTTCACCGTTTTACTCCTCCCCACTCCATCGAATACGGAATTTAAAGATTTCATTTTTATCGTGCGAAATCTAATTCCTGACTTAAGAAAAAATGATGGCGTTTTTAAAACTTTAGATGCCGGAAAAGCTTAGTTTTGTAATTGTGTGTATGTGTGTGTGTGTTTAAACAAAGTAACCTGATTACTGTTTCAGATATATTGACCAAATGTCATATTTAATTATTAAATCAAATATGGATAAGTACTGTACTTTTGGGCACTTAAAAACCGATGACTATAGTACCGTTAAACTTAGAAAAACGAAATTTGACAAACAAGTATTAGATTGTATGTTCATGTTTCTATCAACTTTTGAACAATTTCCGGTAATCAAAAATAGTACTTTAATCTATTTCCGTGGAAACACGATACCTTCAGAACTGTTCCAGTCAGTAGCGTAGCGAGGGGGGGGGGGGGGGCGGGGGGGGGGCATATGTCACCGGGCGCCGACCTTAGGGGGCGCCAAAATGGGTTGGAAAAATAAATTGAAAGGTTGAGGGGGGTGCAAATCGAAATCTCGAGGGGGTGCAAATCGAAAGTTTGAGGGGGGGGGGGGTGCAAATCGAAAAGTTTGTCCCCGGGCGCCGGGAAGGGTCGCTACGCCTCTGGTTCCAGTTACGTAGATGAAATTTCACTTTCAATTTTTGAGGGATTTCCGAAATTCGGAAATGGTACTTTATTCTATTTCTGGTTTATAAAAATACACACAGTCTACACGTAGAACAAAGTCTACACATAAACCAACGTTACTGCAAGCCAAGGATCTCTATTTACATCATAAATTTGCTGTTGGAAGGCAATAGTATGCCGCAGCATAAAAAGGTTTCAATATATCTTAGATGTATCCCAGATTTAGCTGTCCTTGTTAAATCGACACCTCCCCCCCCCCCAACTTCAGTCTCCTTATTGGCACGTACACCCTACATGCATTGTCACCATCAATCACCAGGTTCGTAATATGTGAGATGGTGTTGGCCCGGGGGGGGGATAATTTGACTAAGAGTACATTTATTATGCTCACGTACAGAATATTGGTGCTGTTGTTGTTGAGTTGTTCACGTATAATGACATTGTTTTTGTAACTTAGCCCAAGATTTGTTATTATTTAATTATTTAGTTGTTTTTGTTGTTTTTTGACATAATACACATTTTAATGTCACAAAACAAGTCACCTGAGTGGCCCAGTTTATACTGCCTTGTTGGGTTGGCCAGGATGGCCTTATACAGACTCCCGAGGATGGCCCTAAATGTTCACTAGATGTGCCCATTACATTTGACCCAGCTATTGTGTTTATCCGCCAGTATCTAAAGAGCTTCTTGCATGTTTATAATTGACGGGAAAGTTATCCCCGAACACAATATTCTTTGCACTTCTTTCAAAGTAGAAGTGATGCTTATACTGGCAGGTTCACTACACTGGCAGACCTTTACCCGCCCTTTGCCACATGTATGGGATAAAACTACCGCCCTTGTAGTGCTCTATAAATGTTTTCAGCCTGGGATCCCACCCAAACTTGACCCACCCCTGGTATAGGCCCCCACCCAAACTTGATCCGCCCCTGGTATAGGCCCCCATCCAAACTTGATCCGCCCCTGGTATAGGGCCCCCACCCAAACTTGACCCACCCCTGGTATAGGCCCTCACCCAAACTTGATCCGCCCCTGGTATAGGCCCCCACCCAACTTGACCCACCCCTGGTATAGGCCCCCACCCAAACTTGATCCGCCCCTGGTATAGGCCCTCACAAAACTTGACCCACCCCTGGTATAGGCCCCCACCCAAACATGACCCAC